GAATAGAATAGAATAGAATAGAATAGAATAGAATAGAATAGAATAGAGAAAAGAGAAAGGAAAGGAAAGGAAAGGAAAGGAAAGGAAAGGAAAGGAAAGGAAAGAAGAGAAAAGAAGAGAAAAGAAGAGAAAATGGAATGGAATAGAATAGAAAATAGAATAGAAAATAGAATAGAAAATAGAATAGAAAATAGAATAGAATCGACAAGAAAATAGAATGGAATGGAATAGAAAATAGAAGAGAAAAGAAAATGGAACAGAACAGAACAGAATTCTTTATTGGCCAAATGTGATTGGATCCACAAGGAATTTGTGTTGGTGTATGATATAAAACAATAAAAAAATACTTTTTAAAAAAAGAGTTTCACCCAAGCCGGGCACCATATTCATCAAAAGGCTACTGCCGACTGTTATAGCATGCAACAAAGGCAGCCCTCAAGACCACAACCCAGCCCAAAATTTCTGTCGTTAAGGGAGATCTTTTACTTTGCCCCCATTTTACAATCTTTCTCGCCACAGTCATTAAGTGAATCACTGTAGCCAATAAGTTTAGTCCCCTGGCTGTGAAGTGGTTGGCTTCCCCACTGATTTTGCTGGTCCAAAAGTCGCAAGAGGGGGTCACCTATGACCCCCCCCCCGGGACGCAGCGATGGTCATAAGTATGAACCAAGCATCTGAATGTTTTGAGATCGCCTGATCATTGGGGAAGGTGCAAAGGTGGTAACTCTGAAAAAACGGCCACAATAAATCACATTTCCCAGTGTGCCGTTGTAACTTTGATCAGTCACTAAGTGAGTAAGTGTTGTAAGTTGAGGACTATCTATACAAAGTCCTGGGAAAACTCCAATTCCAGAGATTCGGTAGGGTCTCTCCCAAGAGTTGATGCTCCCTTGAAGACTTTCTGGGCCTGGAAGTTTAAAAGAATCCACAAACCCCCAGCCAAACCAGAGCTGCTCAATTACTAGTAAGGTTCAACAGGTTTACTACCTCCTTTTAGCACGACGAGGTCCAAGGTCCAGGATTCTAACACAGAGTAAGGTGGCCCGTATAGAAACAGCCGAGCAAGCGAGTTAGTGCCTTGTCTTGCAGCTACAACCTCAAATGATCTAAGAGCTAGAGCCCACTGTACCTACATAGCCAAAAAGGCATTAAGAGTTGTTAACCTAATCTTACGTAGCTTCTTCTCTGGTAATATTACACTAATAACTAGAGCATACAAAACATTTGCTAGACCAATACTCAAATACAGCTCATCAGTCTGGAACCCATATCATGTATCTGATATTAACACAGTTGAGAAAGTCCAGAAATATTTCACAAGAAGAGTTATCCGCTCCTCTACTTGTTGCAGAATACCTTATGCCACCAGACTCGAAATTCTAGACCTAGAAAACCTAGAACTTCGCCGCCTTCGGTCCGATCTAAGTATAGTATACAAAATCATACATTGCAACGTCCTACCTGTCAATGAATACTTCAGCTTCAGCCATAACAATACAAGAGCAAACAATAGATACAAACTCAAGGTTAATCGCAGCAAACTTGAAATACGACTTCAGCAACAGAGCGGTCAATGTCAGGAATATTCTACCTGACTCTGTGCTTTCTTCCCCAAACCCCAAAAACTTTCACCTTAAGACTGTCTACTATTGACCTCACCCCTTTCCTAAGAGGTCTGTAGGGGCCGTGCATAAGCGCACCAATGTGCCTACTGTCCCTGTCCTATTGTTTCTTTTTATTTTTCTTATATGTATCCATGTATTCATAACTATGTTTTTACTCAGGGGTCTCCAACCTTGGCAAGGTTAAGCCTGGCGGACTTTAGCTCCCAGAATTCCCCAGCCATGTTGGCTGGGGAATTCTGGGAGCTGAAGTCCGCCAGGCTTAACCATGCCAAGGTTGGAGACCCCTGTTTTTACTTATACCTATAACCTTGTAAGCAATTGACAAATCAAAAAATAAAAAAAGTAACATCAAATAGGTGTTACCCAGAATTTAAACCCCTTCCACCTGGCGCCATCCAGGCCAAGGGCACTTACGGACCTGCTCTATTTTTTTGTTTTTGTTTTTTTCAGGGGTTGGACTAGAGGACCTCCAAAGGTCCCTTCCAACTCAAGTTATTCTGTATTTTCCGCTCCATCTTTAACCACCGAAAGTGACTTGCAAAAAAAATAAAAATAATAAATAAAGCTGGAGTGGGGGGGATAGAGCCGCGTTTTGGGTTTGTTTCCCCTCACAGCCTTACCTGGCCGTCCGAAGCGGAACCTGCCGGCGGGGCCTGCGGGCCGAGGGACGCGATTACGCGGCGGTGGGAAAGAGCCGAGCGGCCACCGACCGACCCCCTTCTCGTCTTCCTCCGTCCCCCCCTTCCGACGGCGGGGCGGTTTCCAAAGACGGCGCTACTTTAACCTCGCCCTCTCCGGAGCAGCGCCTTCCGCGAGGGGGTTGGTTTATTGCGAATTTGCGGCGTTGGGGAGGGACGGAGGTCGCGCCTCGCGGCGGACGGCGAGGAAGCGAAAGGCGGCGAAACTCCGGGGGCTCGACGGGTTCGCGCCCCCGCCGCCGCGCCTTTCGGAGCGCACGCTTGGTCCTTCCTGGCGCGCCTCGCCGAGGCTGGAGGAGGAGGAGGAGAAGAAAAGGAAGGAAGAGAGAAGGAGAAAAGAAGGATAAAGAGAGGGAGGAAAAAAGGAGAAGGGGAAGGGAAGGAGGGAAGGAGGAGGAAAGGAGAAGGAGGGGGAGGAGAGGGAAGGGGGAAAGGGAGGAGAAAAGGAGAAGAAGAGAAAAGGAGGAGGGGAGGAAAGGGAAGGGAGGAGAAGGAGAAAAGGAGAAAGGAAAGAAGAGAAAAGGAGAAGGAGGGGAGGAGTGGGAAGGGAGGAGAAGGAGAAAGAGAAAAGGAGAAGAAGAAAAAAGGAGAAGGAGGGGAGGAGAGGGAAGGGAGGTGAAGGAGAAAAGGAGAAAGGAAAGAAGAGAAAAGGAGAAGGTGAGGGAGGAGAGGGAAGGGAGGAGAAAGAGAAAAGGAGAAGGAGAAGAAGAAAAAGAGAGAAGGTGAGGGAGGAGAGGGAAGGGAAGGAGAAAAGGAGAAAGGAAAGGAGAGAAAAGAAAGAGAAGAAGAGAAAAGGACAAGGTGAGGGAGGAGAGGGAAGGGAAGAGAAAGAGAAAAGGAGAAAGGAAAGGAGAGAAAAGAAGGAGAAGAAAAGGACAAGGTGAGGGAGGAGAGGGAAGGGAGGAGGAGGAGGAGGAGGAGGAGAGAAGGGAGAAAAGAAGGAGAGGGAGGGGAAGAAGAAGATGAAGAAGAAGAGGAGGAGGAGGAAGAGCCTCTCAGCTTTGGAGGGAGGCGACAGGAATGGGAGTCGATGGAGGGCAAGAGGGCCGAAAGAAAGGCAACCAGGCCCAAGAAGTCTGGTTCAAGGTGTCCTCCGGAAGGGCTTTGCAGAAGGGCGAAATCAACGGAGCTCAGCCTCAGCCTCGGCTGTAATACCGGAACTTCTTCGGTGTTGCTGCTTGTGGTTGCCTCGGCCTAACCCACCGCCGGCTTCTGCAGAAAAGGATTGCGCAGAAGAAGTCACCTCGGGGTCAGGGGAGCCAAAGCATTCCGAGGATCTCTTCCCCGGGGAGCAAAATGGTCGTAACTGCTCTGCCTCCTTCTTCCGGGGATCTTGTTGGACTTGCCCGTCTAGTCTCCGATAATTAAAATATTAAAATCCTCCGAGGCCCAGAGAGGAGAGGAGGTTTTTTTTTCCTGACTATCAAATGCCCAGAAATGCTAATAGTGGACTGCCAAGTTTTGCTGGAAATTAAAAGGCAGATCAGAAAAGGATTGGTGGTTCCCAAGGCTATAGGCTTAATAGATAGGTTTTAAAAAAAGAAGTATATTTGATAGATGGGGAGAGGGAAAGGAGGAGGAGAGAGGGAAAGAAGGGGAGAGAGGGAGAGAGAGGGAGAGAAAAGAGGGAGAGACAGACAGGAGAGAGGGAGGGAGAGGGAGGGAGAGGGAAAAAGGGAGGAGAGAGAACGAGAGGAGAGGGAGGGAGGGAGGGAGGGAGAGAGGGAAAGAAAGAGGGAGGAGAGAGGGAGGGAAGGAGAGAGAGGGAGAGAAAAGGGAGAGATAGACAGGAGAGAGGGGGAGGGAGAGGGAAAGAAAGAAAGGGAGGGAGGAAGGGAGAGGGAAAGAGGGAGGAGAGAGAGAAGGAGAGGGGGAGAGAGAAGAGAGAGAGA